CATTCGCCGCACAATAAGGTCCTCAATATCTCTGGTGACACTTCCAAATTTGCCGGAATCTAACACTTTGAGCAAGTCAGGAACTGCAAAAGTTTCGGAGCGGTTGGCAACTCTTGAAGACCCCTTTTCTTTTCCATGTTCGCATTCTTCCCGCCAACTAGTCGCAGCAGCAGTAGGGCAACTCTGGTTTTTACTTTCATCAAATTTCGTCTTTTTTATCCCCTTGGAAAACAAATCTGTTCCACGTATAAAAGTTTAATCACAAGGCATGAGAGTAGAAGACAGGATGACAATGGAATATATGACAAGGTGAGGGTAAGGATTGCGTACATCCTACCCTCCCCAGACCCACTTGTGGGATTACACGGACTTTGTTGTTGTTGTTGATATGCATGAATAAACAGAATTCAAATGCATTACTCGCTACAATTTTTTCACGCAAATGGGACTAACTATTCTACCCTTTTCATTGTACTATATTCCTTTTAGCAACGTGCCAATATGAAGTCCACCTCTTTAAAAGGATGATTTCAATGTGTTTTGTAACTAATAAAAGTTAAGTGGAATGCACAGTAACATTTCTTACTCTTTCATTTCGATTTAAAGATCCACCACTTATAGCTCATGCAAAAATAAATATCCACTTTGTAAAGAGAACTTACAACATCGCAGGATATCCACTTTATCTTCTCCATACAACTACTCCTCTCATTTGCTCAACAAATACAAATGATTCAAATGTTCAAACTCCTCACTCAATCTCTAGGCAAAGTCAAATTTAAATTATTCAATCTGAACAAATGAAGAATATAACTTAACCTCCATTATGCTCCCAAAAGACAAGTCAGTATTTGGTGCACAAAATCTATGTTGCTCGTACTCTTTAAAAATGTCACTGGGTGTGCGTTGTATCCTCCAAAAATGTGTCACTCCCTTCAGAAGTAGTGCATTTTTGGAGGATCCAAGACAAGTGTGTTAGCATTTTTGCAGAGTTCGAGCAACATAGCACAAACCCATAACAAATACTCCAATTCGAACAATTCTTCTTTTCTAGTTCTTTCCTACTAATCATGTCATGTCAAAATTAAGTTATAAAATGGGATGGAAGGAGTATTATTTGATTTCTCCACTAAACTCAACGTAAAAATTAAGTCAAATTATTTACTCTTAATGGAGTCTCTATCTTCACTGGGTATGATGATGTTGATGTTGTTGTAATGGAGTCTCTATCTATGTAAGATACCCATAGATCTTGCCTTTGGTCCAGCTAAATGAGAGGGTTGTGGTGAGTTGATGACCAGTGTAAAAATGGCTAAATTAAAATGAATAATCAATTGAATATAGACCTAAATAGGGACCATTCATATGGTCGACCCAACTAATATGGGGCTGATACATGATTGATTGACTGATTGATTTTAACTTTTAACAAAGGTGCGAGACAAACTAGGTCTTGTTTAATGCCACACAGTGAGTACATAGAAAGACCCTCTTACACATGTGTGTATAATTGATAGTATGGGTATCCGGAGGGGGAAAATAGGGGAATCTACCTCTGGGGCTGTACGGCTGAGACCTTTTCGCCATTGAGTTAGCAAAATTGTTCCGCCATCCTTCAGTTGCTAAGTCCATTTTCACTTTAATTCGACAAAAAAGACAAAATATCAACACAATGTCGCTAATAATTTCTAACTGAAAACGCACATGCATGACAAAATGTCAACACAGGACATCCCCATCTGTACCAATGGCTCCATGATCAAAACCCCATCAGAACCCATCAGTCAAATTTACTTTTATCAAAGAAAAATCACTCACTATTTGTAAAACGCAGCGACGAATAAAATTTGAAGCGAAAATGAAATAATGGGGATTTTGGAGAAAAATAGTCAGTAATTTGAGCAGAAAAAAAAAGGGGTTTTACAGAAAGAGAATCTGATTCGGATAGGAGTTAGGTAGCGGATGAAGCTTCAATTGGAAGAAAACAATTTGAACAAACCTGAGGAGTTACTGGTAGAGTAGACTGATGAAGAAAAATAGCTGAGATTTGCAGGTGACAGAGGGCGTTGGCACTTGGCTGAAAATGGTGCCGTCGACTATTCTCTCACTCCCAGGCCCCAGCTTTCCTTTTCTTCTTTTTATTTTGTTCCTTTCTCCGTACAACACCTCTTTAATAAATAGGTAGAAGAGTGGTAAACATAAATCACCGAAAATTAAATTAATTAAACTGAACATAATTTAGGAATTAACTTTTGATTAATGTATTGGATTGATTAGTAAGAATTTTGTTGGAATGACAATCTTCAACTTTAATCAAGAGGTTTCGGGTTCAAGTCTCCTTAAATATAGAGTTTCATTTGTTCGGGAGCACTTTATCAATGTTCACTTCTAATGAATTGTTTATCATATATATTGCTAACATTAACGAGTGACTTCAGATGTCTTAAAAGTGAAGATCGAATATTTTTATGTGATTTTTATTATTAAACATTAGATAAAAGATGAACATATATATTTTTCTTTAATATGTAATTATTTTAATTATCAAATTATCGAAATTAAGTATCGAACATCCCACTCCTATTTGATTTTAATAAGCTGATTTTGTTTTATATTAAAAATAAATCAAAATAAAAAAAAGTGGACAGATGGAGTATAATACTTTACTCAATTTCATAATGTTAACACCTCAAAAAATTGTCATTTGTTTCACACTTAACTGTGTATTTATATCCTTCGGAGTGACTCAATGGTTTAAGTTTGGAACTTTCATGTTGGAGGTCTCAAGTTTTAAAACTTTTACCTAATACGAATTACCTTTTATGTGCAGTTTGTGAGGTATTGCATATGCACGAATGTTAAACAATCAGTTTACACATATATATTGCATAGGCACGGAGTTAAATGATCAATTTACACATATATATTGCATAGACACAAAGTTAAACTATCAATTTTTACATACATATAATATTGCATTCTCGTCTCTAACTATTAGTTTGTGTATATTCTTTGGGAAAATAGTTTGAAATATATCTGAATTTTAATCGAAATTGTTGTAACGATACCAAACTTTAGAAAGGGCATGTTACCCCCTGCATTATTTAATAGTGTATTTTAAAGGTATATATGTGTCCACGTGGACATTATAAATATTGCATAATTATAAATAGTAATGTGTCCACGTGGGCATATATATACCTTTAAAATATACTATTAAATATTACAGGGAGGTAAAAGGTCCTCCATAAAGTTTGGTATCGTAACAACAAATTCGGCCAAAGTTGGAGTATTTTGCATACCTTTTTCCCAAATTCTTTTAGATACTTTGTGTTATTGATTTTTTTTGGGAAAAAGGTCTGAAATATATCTGAACTTTGATCGAAACTGCTGTAACAATACCGAACTTTGGAAAGAACCTTTTATCCCCCTGCACTATTTAATAGTGTATTTTAAATGTATATATGTCCACGTGGACATCATAAATATTGCATCATTATAAATAGTAATGTGTTCACGTGGACATATATATACCTTTAAAATACACTATTAAATAGTGCGGGGTGTAAAATGTCCTCCATAAAGTTTGGTATCGTAACAACAAATTCGGCCAAAGTTGGAGTATTTTGCATACCTTTTTCCCAAATTCTTTTAGATACTTTGTGTTATTGATTTTTTTTGGGAAAAAGGTCTGAAATATATCTGAACTTTGATCGAAACTGCTGTAACAATACCGAACTTTGGAAAGAACCTTTTATCCCCCTGCACTATTTAATAGTGTATTTTAAATGTATATATGTCCACGTGGACATCATAAATATTGCATCATTATAAATAGTAATGTGTTCACGTGGACATATATATACCTTTAAAATACACTATTAAATAGTGCGGGGTGTAAAATGTCCTCCATAAAGTTTGGTATCGTAACAACAATTTCGGCCAAAGTTAAAATATTTTTCAGACCCTTTTCCCATATTTAAAAAAAAAAAAAAACTAACCAAATTAGCTTTAGGAACTAAACTAATATATTTTAATTAATTAAAAGTAAAATATTTTGAGCCAAATTAAATCATACCAAAAACACTAAAAATGTGTATAACATTTGATTTGATTTTATATATGATTAAATTGGTTAAGTTTGCTTTTGATATCAACTGAAAATCGATCCGAAAAAACATGAATATCCCTGTTCTCCAACTCTCTATTCTTTTATATTCCAATTAATGGTAAAAAATACACCTATGTTAATATTTTTTTCCATAAATTTCATACCTCAATTATCTGTTTTTGTCTACATTACCATTCTCCTTTATAATTTGTTTGCATGATTGTTACCTATTACTCCCTCTGTCTTTAATTACCTGTTCACTTTTCATTTTTTAATTATCCCTGATTATTTGTCAATTTTGACAAATCAAAAAAGAAATTTTTTTTTATCTACTATACTCTCAATTAATTATTTTGAAAAATGTAGAACTTCTTAAAACTCTTAAATTTTTAATTCATCTACTTCATAACCAATAGGGACAAAATGATAAATTCATTTGTCAATTTTTGTTTTCTTAATAGGTGTGTCAATTCAAAAGTGGACAAGTAATTAGGGATAGAAGGAGTATAGTGTATTGTGTTGATAGTTTGATTACAAAATTTATTTTAATTATTACTTAAATTTTGTCATAGTGCATCATAAATTCATCAAATAATAATGAAAAATCTCATTTTATGTAACAAACAATATGGTGTGATGACATTGATACCCCTCCCTCGTTTTATTTTTAATAATCTCATTTTATTCTCTTAATTATTCATATACAATCTATATATTATTACCCTATTTAATAAGCCAACAAGGCCTGGACGAACGCAACATCTATTAGTTGTACCAAAAGTAGTATAAGTAGTACCCTTTCATGAAACGTGTAGTAAATTAATGACGACACGTGTTTAATAAAGTACTCTTCAGTCTTTTCTCAATGAACCTTTGTTATGATATTCTCTATTTCTCCTCCTCCTTCTCTATTACCCTATTTGAGTTAGATCTTCAATGTTTTAGCCATTGCTAGAAGTTGTTGTGGAGTTAATTGCAAGAAGCAGTTATGAAAAAAGGTATGTAACCATTTAGACTTTGTTACTGTATTAGTTTTGTTGAGCTTATTTTACAATTTCGTTCTTAATTAAACTTTATTTGTAATCTTTGTTTTTTAGGTATTAATCCTTCCCTCTTCTTCCGGTAAATCCTTCAGTTTTTCTGTAGTTCCTTATAGCAATTGCTGCTGCAAAATTTTTCCCATTCAACTGTTGTTAATTTCTGGTGGGTTTTCTTTTTTCAATATTGTGTTGTTCTATGTATTGGAAATATATAATCTTATCGTTCTCATATTTGAAGGCTTGCTGGATATTTGTATTTCCCACTTTCAGTGTTGGATATCTGTGGTTTCCCTATTGATAGTGCAATGATGATTGATGTTATGTTTCTTTTCTCTGTTTATTTGCATGTATTGTTAGGTTATTATACAAAGATAAGTGATGACTTTAAGGTATCCGATAATATGCCAAAGCAATTGAATAACTTTTGATTTTCTTATTTTTACCCACACTTTATCTGTAACATACTTCTCTATCAGTCCATTGGTGTATTTTCTATTTGTTAGTATTAAAACGATATGTATGTTCAATTGCAATTTGATGCTGCCAGGCCAATTTGTCAATGTAATACTTCTAGAATAAACCAAATCATGACAGCTTCTTACACGAAATTGAAAATTACTTTCAACAGAATGTCGAAAGATTAAGCATTGCGGTTCAGGAACCTAGAATCATAAACGAACAATGGTGTACCATAGAAACATGTTATGTCATGCTAGATATGTATAAATGTCGCAAGTAAATTCTATCACAACAGCGAGCTAAAAGAGTTGAATCATAAAGGCGGTGAGTCTTGCAACAGTCAAATGATACACTGTCTTCGTCTGAAGTTGAGAGCCATACGGAAATCAAAGTGTGCTTCCAATTTTTAATCCATTGTTAACTAGATAAAAGTTGAAAAAAATAAATCTTCACGTAATGTCGCTTGTGTATATATAGATATACTTTCGTACATAAATTGATTTACTACCATTTACACTACTTTCTCTCCTACTATTTTGCAAGACATGCATACTTTCGCGGCTACACAAACAACTGCTTGCACCTCTATCTTTGAAGTAGGTGAGGCAGGGGAATTGGAAAATTTTGACTAATCTAATAAGTTCAATGTGTCTAAATATTGTTTGTCTGAATACTGAGACTAATATCAAGTAGATATGATGCAGCAGAAAAGTTTTTTTCCACTCCCACTGATTACTTCAGATAGAGGTATTTCTCCTAATTTTCATGCTTCATCTCTAAATTTTTTACATAGGCATCAAGTCAACTAATCGTTGTGTGTTTACACTTCTGATTTCTTGAGTTGAAGGTATTAACATTGGGTCTTTGTTGATTGTTTTATGCTCTTATTTGTTATCCAAAGTGTATTTAAGCTACAACGCCGGATAATTGAAATTGTAACATTTGATTGCGGAAGGAGAGGTTTTATTTCTGAGTAAATAACCTTAAGAGAACTCTACTCTGAGATATCAATGTTCAGTTGTTTCTATTACAAAATGTAGCATGTTTCTCCATATTGTCATGCTTCATCTCCAATTACCTTTCTTTGCTTACTATATGTTTAGTTAATGGCTTTATGAAGAACTACTTTTATCTAAGTTTGACGTCTTTTGTAATAGATTGCATTTTAAGTTGTGATGGTATACTATGCTGGAAATAATCAAGTTTTGTTAATATTTAAGATTAGGAGAAATAAATAAGTTCGTGGAAGATGCTTTGTTTTTCTTCATTTTTGTTGTTATTTTCTGGAATTTGGGATTATAGGAAGTCAAAATTTACTGCTGATTTCATTTCCTAATCAACCGAAATAAGTATTTGAATAACATCCCCTTTATATGCAATTTAGTCTAAACAAATGGGATTTTAGGTGTGTTATAGTGTGCTATTTTGAGTTTTAGTTTATAGGTTGGGGGCGAGGGTTCGGGGTGGTAAGGGGGTTAAGGGAGATGATGGGCGGAGAGTAGGGTCTTGGAACATAGGGATATTGATGAGGAAGTCCATAGAGCTCTTGAAGATTCTCAAAAAGTCGAGGGTAACTTGTTCGTGATTTAATACTTGCATATCTCACCTCCAAACCCCTCAGAGTATTATGAGCTTTTATAATATTACTAACTAGGTGTGTTGTTGTTGTCGTACTGTGTTATAAGAAAGGCTGAAAATTTTCAGTTTTTTTTTTTTTAAGCAGATAGCTGCCGAGTATATGGAGAACACAGTGTGATACTCCCTGGGAGATAAAAATGGTATTGTTCGTTGATCCCTCTTTCTTATTGTTGTATGTTTTTCTTTATTCATGCCTACTTTGTATACAATTGATGTCTGCTTTGTTTTCTTCGAGTGTTCTAGAGTAGAATTATTTTCCTTATTTGAATTAATTCTTATTTAAGTTTTTTTCTCATGAGTTTATTTGGTCTATGTTCTAACTTGGTTTTTCCCCTGGCCCATTGTGTTTTTCAGTAGTTTTTTTTTCATACTTCAAGGATCTGGTGGGCAGAGAAGTGACTGTGGAATTGAAGAACGATTTGGCTATTCGAGGAACACTACATTCAGTTGATCAATATCTCAACATTAAGCTTGAAAACACGAGGGTTGTTGATGAGGACAAGTACCTCCACATGGTAATTCCTTTTTATTCTCTCTCTTGTGTCTTTGTTCTTCTTATTTTTTGTTGTTGATTTCATCTGGGAAAATATCGTTTATTGCCTATATTTAGTTTGGAGATGTATTACATCTTGCTTCTCTTTCACCTTCTCTATTTGTGCGTGTAGATCTGTTGAAAGCCTCTTTTTGGCCATCTCTTTCTCAATTCAACAATTCTTGAATTATATCTTTATGCTTTTGGTATGCAATAAAACAAGTGGATGTTTCTCTTCTATAGTACTGAGGATTTTTGAATCCGATAGTTTTGCTGGAAGCTACTAATTTTGATTGGATATGTGAATCGAGAAGGTCAATTTGATGTATTAACTTCTCTGTGTGTATGTGTGATATGGGATCCTTAGTCTATACGGGGATGAGGTTTTTCTATCAATACGACTATGATTATCTGCGGCTTTCTCCTAGAAATGTTTAAGGCTTAGTGTTCGTTCATAGTTTCAAATTGTCATGCTTCATCTCCAATTACCTTTCTTGCTTACTATATGTTTAGTTAATGGCTTTATGAAGAACTACTTTTATCTAAGAAGAATAAATGAGTTTATGTTGGCTACTCTATAGCAATATGGAAATCATTACTACTTGAAATTTGTTTATGCTAAAGGAAAGTGGACTTTGTTGTTCGTAATAGTGCATACTCTTTTGGAGAATTGTTACATATAGTGCAAGTCATCTACACTCTGTAGACGGCGAGAACTATATTGTTGAGGTATGTTATCATTTCATATTTTACTATTACTCAAATTTTGAGCTATTTCATATATCATAGACGTCTTATATTTATCCTTCTGGTGTAATCTGTATATTCCATGCCTCTAATGAGGCAAGCACATCTTCACGTATTACACTTTAGAACTGTAGTAGGCAATGCCTTCTAGATATGATAGTATTTTGTATCAGCGTTCAATTAGACAAATGTAGAGAATAGACATCCTTAGACTCATTTCGAGGAAGTGAAGTCCACAAAACAGAACACTTTAAAATCAAACTAAAACATGTACAAGACGTGACAAAATATAATTTACTCCTAAATATAAGAAATAAGATGTTAAATTACCTTCTACTAATATCATGCTTGGATGATGAGGTTGATATCATACACCAATAATAGCGATGGAACCCCACGAAAATTTGTTCGACGATTAGAACTACTTACCAGAAACAACTACAGGAAATTATAGAAAGTCACTAGAGTTGGAAATAGTGAGAATAATTTGAACAATCAGATATAATCAGTTGACATGAGAATTAACAATTCTTATCGATTAACAAGGATTTGGGTGCTCATCTTGGAGGTGTCTTTTTACAAAACTGTTTTACTAAGGTGCACAAGTTGCATAAACATGGTACAACTAATAACACTTCCAGAATTTTGATTGTTGTCCAACAATAATATGTGGCCTTACACAAGGGTGGTGAATTGAGTGCATGTCATTTGGAATCTGGAAATCAGTTCAACATGGAGCTAATGAAAATAGAATTGTCCATTACTTTTAAAATTTTCATTAACAATTTGAGTTTCTTCTCTTTGTTCTTTACTCTTTCAAATTGTTAAGTTTTTTTTTGAAGATCTGCGATAGTACTATTTCATGGTTTATTGTTGTTTCCTCTTCTACTATATATACATAGGTATGCGGTGAGTTTCACCTACTTCTTTTGTTTATTCTCTGTATTCTTTACTCTTTTAAGTTTGTTTTGTTGAAGTTTCACATGTATAAAGTTTCTTTTATTTTATAATTTCATTTAGAAATTTGATTTTTTTCCCCCTGAGATTTCATGGTGAGATTCTAATAATAAATTCAATCTCTCATTTCGTAGATGGATGGGTCACTAGCAGCAAGTAGCCACAAATACACAGAGCAATAACTCCATAATATGTAAAATATTATAACTATTTGATGAATATCTAAACAAAATCACATAAAAATTGAAAAATTCGATTGTAAATCCGTAATATATAGAATCGGTGATTTAAACATCAAATCAAAATAAATAAAAATAGATAATGGAAATTACCTTGCCAATCGAGAAATCTGCTCTCTTAATAAAGAGATATCGTTTAACAATAGAGAATTTTTTTTGATGAACAATAATTGAGCACCTTGAAGAAAGATAATCTTGAAACGTGGAAGGAGGAGAAGAAACGTGAAAGGTGGGAAAGAGCCGTGAATGGTGAAGAAGAAGGTTAATGGGTATTGGTTTAATTTTTTTTCTTTTTAAACGGTTATTGGTATATAATTTGGCCCAATATAGGACTCTTTCCATAAATAAAAATTAATTTTAAATACTAAAAATCTGAATACATATTATTTTATAAAAAAATTGTCATTCTACCATTTTAAATAAATATTTTTAAAGTGTTGTTATTTTTAACTAATTATGTTAGGTATTATGACTTAATTGCTAATTTTCCCTAATTTGTTTGTGGGACATAAGTTTATATTTTTTATTCATAATATTCTACAAGTTATGTCCGCTCACCCACCATAAGATCAATTTCTAAATATTAAAATTAAAAATTAACTCATTTGAAAGATAAAACATATTAAGAGAAGTGATCAAAAATAAAATTATAAAAAAGTTTCTCTGGTTATATATTTTATATTTTAAACTTATTTTTCAACACACAGGGTTTTGTTATCTCATATTGTCGATTTGGAAAAAAAATAATCTTCTTTTATATTATGAAATAACTTAATTTTGCCCAAAAATAGAAAGAGAAGTGTAACATGATTTGCTTCGAATTTGAACTTTTGATTTACTAATAGAGTAATAGGAAATGCCGGAATCAAATGTGCTCATATTATATTCGGAATGATTAAGTTTTGCTCTCTATTAGACTTTTGTCCATTCAAACTCTTGTATGGAATAGTAAATTGTCTTGAATTTATATTTACTGTTAAAAGAGTTCTAACTTAAAATGAAGTAGGCCCTATATATCTTAAATTTCTTCATGAAGACCACTATTTTAGACTAAGATTCTCAATTGGAGCTCCATTATGGATCAAGGGTAAAAATTAAGACTTTTTTGCAGTGAAATAAGATCCTATCGAAAATTTAATGCAGAGTGAAGTTGTTCAATTTATTTTATCATAATACATGAACATAATTGACCAATTTTACTATAATTTTGCGATCTTCTTTTTTCATATTAATTTGAATACTTCTTTTCTTAGACGCTAATGAAAACGAACAACGGAGAGAAAAGAGCGGTTGATTAAGGATTTCAACCACTAAAACATTGTAAAGCTTAAAGAAAAATAATTGCGCCAACGGTAACAGAAATTCGAAACCAAAGCCAAAAATCTCCACACCCCACAAATATGGCGATAATATTGGCAAAAACAGACTGATTTCAATTCTTTTTTTCTCTTTCATACTCCCTCCATAGTATTAGACATTTTTTTTCTCAATTTTCATCCCCAAATCCTCGTCAGGAGGGGCTGGAGATGAAAAAAATGCCAAGAGGATCACCACCACCATCATCGTCTACAATAATGGCTAATATCCTCGTGGCGTTTGTTTGCCTCATTTTCATCGGCCCCTCGAGTGTAATTCCAGTTTCTGCACAATCAGATTCTACTGCACCTGCAAAATCTTTTCCAGCATTCACACCTTCAGATAACTACCTTATTAATTGTGGATCTACTTCTCCTACTACTCTTCCAGGAAATCGCGCATTTCAACCAGATGAAACCACAGCTAAATATTTAGCCTACAGCGGACGTGACCTTCACATTTCTGCACCTGATAATAAAAATGTACCTTCACCTATGTACCTTAGCGCGAAAATTTTCGATAGTGAAGCTACTTATACATTTCATGTGGCCAGTCCAGGCTTGCATTGGATCCGTCTTTATTTTTACCCATTACAAAACAATGAATTTAATCTCCAAACAGCCAAATTCTCTGTTTCAGTGGATACATTAGTTCTCCTCCGTGATTACCAAATGGAGAAAAACGAACCAGTTATGAAAGAGTTTCTTGTAAATGTCACAACAGAGCGTTATGCCATCAAATTTGCACCTTCCCAAGGCTCAATTGCATTCGCCAACGCCATTGAGTTTGTTACTGCACCAGGCAAATTACTCGACTATTCTGTCCCTCTCCTTTTTCCCGTTTCACAGAAATTTGATCTTTCCACTAGTAATTTCGAAACAACCTATAGGCTTAATGTTGGAGGTGCATACCTTGATGCAACAAATGACACTTTAGGGAGAAGTTGGTTATCCGATGAACCATTCCGTAATAGTGCCACAGGACAGGCGGTTACTGTTCAGCCTTCTGTGATTCAATATCCAACGGCAGGAGGGTCGCCTTTAATTGCTCCTCCTACAGTTTACAGTTCAGCAGTGAAAATGGCTGATTCAGAAACTACCATTCCCAATTTCAACATATCATGGACGATGGATATTGATACCTCATATACATACCTCATTCGCCTTCACTTCTGTGATATCATTAGCAAATCGCTCAATGAACTGTATTTCAACGTGTACATTAATGATAAGATGGCAATTTCCGGGCTAGACTTGTCTTCTTTGACACAGCGGTTGTCCACAGCTTTTTACAAGGACTTTGTGATAGATGCCTCTTCAGCATCTAATCCTCTTAGTGTAAAGGTTTCACCGGTGAACGATGTCCAAGGATTCAAGAATGCAATCCTGAATGGGCTTGAGGTTTTTCGGATGAATAATTCTATGGGTAGTCTTGATGGGCAATATGGTGTTGATGGAACGAAGAGTAGTGGCCCAAGCAAAACAGTGGCTTATGTTGGTTTTGCTATGATGTTCGGAGCATTTGTAGGATTGGGTGCTATAGTTTTCAAGTGGCAAAAGAGGCCTCAAGATTGGCAAAAAAGGAACAGTTTCTCCTCTTGGTTGCTTCCACTTCATGCTGGAGACACAAGCTTTATGGCGGGAAGCAAGGCTTCATTGTCGCGCAAGAGCCAATTTTTCTCTTCAAACATGGGGCTAGGCCGATACTTTTCATTTGCTGAGTTGTCAGACGCCACCAACAATTGGGAATCGACTGCCATAATTGGTGTTGGTGGCTTTGGCAATGTCTATTATGGAGAAATCGATGATGGAACAAAAGTAGCTGTCAAGAGAGGAAATCCACAATCTGAGCAAGGTATCAATGAGTTCCAGACTGAAATTCAGATGTTATCTAAGCTCAGACATCGCCATCTGGTGTCGTTGATTGGTTATTGTGATGAAAACACAGAGATGATACTGGTTTATGAGTTCATGCAAAATGGTCCTTTCAGAGATCATCTCTATGGCAAGAACTTTCCACCTTTGACATGGAAGCAGAGGCTAGAAATCTGCATTGGCTCAGCTCGTGGGCTTCATTACCTCCATACAGGTGCATCTACAGCAATTATCCACAGAGATGTCAAAACCACCAACATTCTTCTTGATGAGAACTTAGTCGCTAAAATGGCTGACTTTGGGCTGTCAAAAGATTGCCTTGCCAACGAGACTCACGTAAGCACAGCTGTGAAGGGAAGTTTTGGGTACCTCGATCCTGAGTACTTCCGTAAGCAGCAGCTAACAGACAAGTCTGATGTGTACTCATTTGGAGTGGTACTTCTAGAGGCCTTGTGCGCTCGTCCTGCCATTAATCCATCACTTCCAAGAGAGCAAGTGAATTTAGCAGAATGGGGAATGCAATGGAAGAAAAAAGGTTTGTTGGACAAGATCATTGATCCTACTCTTGTGGGACAAATTAACCCAGAGTCAATGAAGAAATTTGGTGAAGCAGCAGAAAAGTGTTTGGCAGAATATGGTGCTGATAGACCTAGCATGGGTGATGTGCTGTGGAACTTGGAATATGCTTTGCAGCTACAAGAAGCCTCATTACAAGGGAAGGCTGAAGAAGAAAACAAAGCATCTTCTTCCCCAGTCTCTCCTGTTATAGTTGCCCCTACTCCTGCCCCCGTCCCTGCTCCTTCGACTCCTGACAACAGACCAGTTTCTACACCTGAGCAGACAAGAAATCCTGCTGAACTTCAAACAATTGACGATCATTCAGGAACAAAAATGTTTGATCAATTTGGTGCACTTAACGGGCGATGATAGCCATGATCACTTTGACGGAGATGATATTACAAAAATGTCAATTGGTATGTCCCAGGTGAATTATATGTATATGTAGTTGAAGCCAGCTCTTTTACTGATGACTTTTCTGCTGTTTTTGTTGG